TTTTGCTTTTGCGGTACCAGTCACACGTTCTTTTAACCTTCTTATTCAGCCACCTTTTGTACATTTAAACGTTTGTATGTTTAAAGGCGCTAAGGCGTTTATTTTGCGAAATAACTCATAACAATAATTCGATCATGTCTGTCAGAGAACAGAACAGACCTGACTCCCGTCAGATTCTGAAGGTCGTGTAAACAGACCAGTGTTTTGATAGCAGTCTTTAGTGTGCGGTGGCTCTTAGGTTCAGAAAAACATGATTGATTATGTTATAAGTTCATTGGTGTTTTGTATGAGATGAAATAAGTCATTTCAAATGACCACTTACCAATCAGCATGCACTCATTATCCTGCCCCTGATCCATGCACCACAGCTACAATTATTTGCTTGGAGTTAATACATCACCTGGCTATTAGAGCTGTGTAGTTACATCACCTGAATAATTTTATGTATCATATTGAACATCAAACACATTATGTGAACATCCTTTGACTGACCCGACTGACGTTCCGCCACGTAGACTTTACACAGCACGCACACTGACAACCAACCAATCACAGCACCTTTTTTTTGGCGCGTAATTTAAATTCATCAATGTGTGAGTTTCTAGGACAAACAGGGTGCACTTTTTTCGTTTTGTGTTTTTTTAGTTAAATGCAATTTTCTCGAAAACTAGCGTGTAGATTTCTTTAAAAATTTGCCTAGTACATGCATAGATCTGCCCCTAAAATATTTGCAGTGAATTTAATAGGACCTTATTACATTTGCATTTCTCGCAAAGTGTCAGCATAGGTACCAAAAAAAATATACTGTTTTTTTAATATAATAATTGATTATCTTTTAAAAGAGACCAAAACGTAAAAAGAAGAAGTATGTGCGACTCACAGTTCACTGTGTACTGGTGTATTGGAGGTTAGCCTGGCCAGCCCCGAGGCAGTGCCTTTATTTTTATTTTTTTATCCCGCCCGAGCCGCGTTTATAGTAGGAATATAAAATTTTATAAAAAGGAGAAAATTGTGCTTTGCAAATTTCTCTTTTTTACTATGAGTAATCCATTTCTGCGTAATGTAATGACTATCAATAAGTGATATTTTTATGTTCTAATTTCAATAAACATTTACAAAAAAATTACTGAATGTTATAGCGATGGTCGAAATTTCCAATTACGTGCGAATTTTAATTTCTGCCAACCGGCCAAATGCAAGTCGGACTCGATACTGGTACAGAACCCGTACCTACCAGTATCTGATTTTTAACAATTGTTGTTAGTCAATTTTCGTGTCTTCCTTTAAATTATTATTATGGTTGAGATTCCTTTAAATTATTTTCATAAAGAACTTGCTCCATGTTCTTCTCCCTCTTCGTGTCCTTCTTCAAGTTCGGTCCTACCTTCATCCGCTTCATCGCTGTCATGATAGACGTTTATGGATGAAACTTTATTGAACGCAAAGAGCCGAACATTTCAGCCCAGCTTTTAAACAGCTGCATGCCCCTCTACCTTTCTTGCATTTGCAGGTTATCATTTTAAAAAGCCGTGCAGGAGCTGGCTCTTTGTTTGTTCTGATGGGGATTAGGCCGCGGGAGCTAATCTCCCAATCCCACTCTGTGGGATTCTTTTCTACCCCCAGCCGCTTTCGCACTTGGTGGTAGGTGCGATACGCATTTAAGTAGCCAGCATCGGAAGGACGAGCTAACTTGGCTTTTGCGTTTGCCGCTGTCTTTAGCCATTATTTCACATAAAGTAGTTTTTTTTAAGTTTTAGTTGTTATTCTGCGTTATGGTAGGCTTATAAAACAAGTGTCGCGACAACGACGCGCGTCAACGACGCCGTCAAATTTTGACGGCGTCGTTGTCGCTGTCAAATGACTGGTTTGTATGGGTTTGTATGGGGAACCAGAAAGACCGAGCGTCGTTGTCGCTGCGGTCTTGTAGAAAAACCCGACCGCATCCCATACAGACCCTGAACTTCTTAGCGCGCTGTCAACATGACGGCGACGCGGCGGCGTCGTTGACGCTGACGCCCGGTCTTTCTGGTATCCCCATACAAACCCATAAAAACCAGTCATTTGACAGCGACAACGACGCCGAGACGTTTTGACTAGATTGAATCAGTTGTGGTCACGGGTAGACTAAAGTACCTGCGGATTGTAGAGGAAAAGTAAAGCAGAAGCAGCAATAATGTTTATTGGATTTGAAACCATGATTGCAGGTCTCAATTAAAAGAAATCAATAATTCATTTTTGGTTATGTGCACTTAAATAAGCTGCACATTATTAGTATGATAAGCATCGAAAAATTAAAATGTTGTTCAGGCGTTGGTGTTCATAGCACTGTTAAACAAATGTCCCCGTGGTCCGTCCCAATAAGCATATTACTCCATTTAAGAGTACACATTTAGTGTACAGGTGTACTTGAAGCAGTATTTCAGTTCACTCGCAATCTATAAGCTGCATTATTGGAATTGATTACACCTTTACCTATATAAGGGACTTATAGGAGTGTAGATTTGTACTTATATACGACAATCGGTGTTATAATAGTCTTAGAACGATCCCTTAGTCAGTCGTCTGACTAAGAGCATTATAGGTGGGTAGAGTTACGGCAACAGCTGTTTAACGGGCTACTTGTGGGATTTTATAGAGCTAGCATATGACAGTTGGTGTTATAATAGTCTAAAAACGATCCCTTAGTCAGCCACCTGACTAAGAGCATTATAGGGGGGTAGAGTTACGGCAACAGCTGTTTAACGGGCTACTTGTGGGATGTTATAGAGCTAGCATTTAATAGAACACATGTGGACTGTTATACAGCTAAAGGCTGTTATGTTAACCCATTTCGGACTGTTATACTGCTATTACTTGTAGTAGGAAGTGTTTGTGTACATTAAAATAACCTTTTTTTGACTTCTGCATAGAAGTGTACAATTGACCCTGAAGTACATCTTAAAGCTGTACAAAGGTTCACATCAGAATTAATGTATAGACCTTGGCTCTGTAGTGGTACAGATGTGGGACTACACACAGACAACGGCATTCTAACGGAACACATGTGAACCCTTATACAGCTCAATGCGTTATATCGGAATTACAACAGTTCACTTAGCCGTATTTCATTTCCACCATTTTGTTCTACTAACCTAAAATATTTACCAAAGAAATTTCCAAAATTATCATGTAGATTTAACGCAAAAAACGCAAATTGACTGGTTGAGTTTTGATTTTATGTTATTACTAATTGCCATGGCATGAATTTAAAGCCCAATATATCAAAAACGTAAAATAATAGTTTTCCCCTCAGTGATTTAAATAGGTACTTTAAATTAAATATCGCGTTTTTACCGAGGCGCGTGAATATTTTAGCTATAAATATGTATGTATTTCACAGTAAATTTGCATTTCCTTGGCATTTAACACTATTTATTAACTTAAACAGGTACACCAGTAATAGCAATGAATTTTATCCAATTTAATGTCCGCCGGAGATATTTATATTGTGTTTCCTGTGGCGCTGACAATTCAAACTAATAATAATGAGGGAATAAAATAAAATTAGCAATATAAAAGACACACCGTGGTTCTTAGGAAGCCTAGGGGTACATTTGTAGGATTTTATAACTGTGAAGGCTGTGTAATTGGCCACTTGTTACTATTTATTACACTCATGGAGTTTGTATGGTTCACACTGGGTCCACTATAGTACCGTAAGTCAGCCTTAAGTTCGGCGTTACCGCTTAAACTACTATTATAATGCTATTGTACTGCTATTGTACAGCCATAGTGGAACCTAAAGCTGTCTAATTTGTGCCCAAACGGGTTCTATAAGGGAGTTATAGCAAGCTATACAGCCCTTGTACAGCTTACTTATACAGCTTGAGGAGTACATGTGAACCACTATACATCTTTTATAGAACCCCGGATGCCACTTGGGGTGGTTCTTATGTCGTCGCTGTAGTAGCTAGGTGCAAGTTTCAGCTGGTACATTCCAAATATTGTTAGTTGCTCGAGTGTTAACATATTCAACTTTTAATTAAGTAGAAATCTCTTGAGGGTGTGGTCTACTTACGAAACTGAACAACTTTTGTTAGAAACTTTTCTTCGAAATATTAAAAAAAAAGTTTGGACCTCCCATAGAAAAATGTTGAAAATGTGTCACTTAGTATGGGAGGTCCAAATTTTTTTTTCATATTTCCAAGAAAAGTTTCAAGCAAAAGTTGTTCAGTTTTGTGAGTAGACCATACCCTTAAGAGATTTGTACATAATAAAATTTAACCCTATATAATCAACAGCGAGTATTTTAAGGAGCGAAACAGCCCCTGAAATTAAACTACTTTACCCAAGGAACAAAGGACGAAATATAAATGTCTGTAATAATCTAAACTGCGACATTTGTTCGTATTCGTTAAAAAATATTGGTTAAGTGGTTATTCAAATTTTAGGTAGGTCACCTAAAATTTGAATAACCTCTTAACCGCATCTATCGTAATGGGATAGATGCAGTAATATTTCTTATTTCTAGGGCTTTGAAACTGTAACGGGCGCTACAGCTTCGTGTAACGTGAGTTACGCGTACGATTCCTTTACTATGTTTGCAGTTATTAGGCCATATTAAAAATATAAGTTTACGGAGGGACACTCAAAACAATATATTTAATAAGTTTCATGAATTTATTGCGTCTAAAACATTAACTGATGACAAAAAACTGGTAGGAAGTCTAGGTCGGCGGTCGCTTCTAATTTTCAGTTCAGGCCTATACTGCTGTTATCCGCTCCGTGCAGACTCGTTGGGCAAAAATATATAAATCCTCGGCCTATAAAAAGTCTAATATTGATAACTCTTATCGGCAGCAATAGTCTGGGTTGCGTACTATTGCTATCCAAAACTCTTATCGATATTGGATTTTTATAGGCCCAGGATTTATATTTTTATACCGACCGAGTCAGCACGGGGCGGATAACAGCAGTATAGCTAATGTGCGGATAATTTTTGGAAAACTTGCATAATTTTCCACCGCAGGCAGGATTTTAACCCGCGGTCTCGGCATCTGTACTGCCGACGCCACTACCAACTGGGCTACCGCGGTTCTAATCAAGCCTGCGAATTAAGCAAGTATATCTTGTCCACTAACGCGTGGATGGACTCCATCTACCGGGATAGTTTATGCAACTAATTCCCATAAGATATACTTGCTTAATTCGCAGGTTTGATTAGAACCGCGGTAGCCCAGTCGGTAGTGGTGTCGGCAGTAGGTACAGATGCCGAAGGTCGCAGGTTCAAATTCTGCCTGTGGTGAAAATTTTGCACGTTTTCTAAAAATTGTATACCTAACACGAGAAGTGTTTTAAAATTTGGTATTCAGTGCGGATAATTTTCGTAAGAACATCTGACACATCATTTTCACTGCTAATGAATGTACTTATTAGCGGAGATTTTGTTTAAAAACATGACCCTCACATACTGAACCTTGCCTTGCCTCGCAGCATACCTGAATTTCTTCTGCTTTTTGCGTTGAGCTACTATTCTTACCAAAACAAGAACGCCTGGATTTATATCCTGGACTGACACACTGTTGTGTACATCAGTCTTGTCTTCAGAGTCGGTATAAACGTAATTATTATTCTAAAAGAATCGATATCCTCCCTTTGGTTGGTGTACCTAATGTTTCACAAATCTTCCTCACTCGACGAACTAATTGTTAGCCATATTTTTAAAAATTTTGACACCCTATCAGAAAGAATACCAAGAACACACAGGCCACTGAGTATGAAGAACAAGCAAAACAGAACTGATAAGATAACTTTTGCTAGAAAAACTCATAGGAAATCTTTAAGCATGGTTAAACGAAGAGAAATTCCGATTCTATTTGACGACACTTGACATCACACATCGCTCTTTGAATTTATCTATGCGTCAGGCTGAATGCATAAGGCCTGCTCAAAGCAAAAAAAAAAAATTATATCCAACTTCGGGCCAATATTGGGAAAACATCATAAATCGGCACGATCGATATGGAAGTTGCTCAGTATATTTATATTTACAACACAATACAATAGTAAGTTTAATAACCGTACCTAGTTAAGTTGTCAATTTCGTCTAAAAGTTATATTATAACAATAAATCGATCATCTCGACTAGACAGAACTAACCCGATTCCCGTCAGATCCTGAACGGCGGCTAGTCTAGATATGATAATCATAACAATAAATCGATCATCTCGACTAGACAGAACTAACCCGATTCCCGTCAGATCCTGAACGGCGGCTTACCAGTTACCCGTCGGTTTTTGTAGACTATGGATAGAAGACAAGATAAATACAATATTTCCGCCACAACACGATTAACTGATCTAGAATACAGCATTATTACTACTTGACTTGGGTGGCTTTAATGGGCAAAATCCAAAAATATCAGTAAACATCAATTTAAAAACTAAAGTCCTGAATTTTTTATTGACAGATGAATGAAAACAATCTGGTATTATTCATCAAAATCGCCTCTATTTTATCTTAACATCGATGATATTTTAATATTCTACGCTCTAAAATTATAAACTTTGAATATTAATACACAATGAGTACCGTTGTAGTTTCCTGCCCTTCTGACACCTGGTGTACCTAATTGAATTGTAAAACCTTCGTCTCGGCCCTTTGGCGGTCAAAACGATTTCCAATCTGATTATTATCGATAATCATTTTCGTGATAATATCAGGATTATACAAAACGGATTTTTGATAAAAACAACGTTTTATTTAGATAATTTCAGCCTATAAAGTTATATTTTGTATTTAAAGATCAAAAAAATGTAGGCATACTACTGCATCATGTTATGACTAAAAGCAGTGAAAAGACGACACCCAGACCTGTTTGTCTGTTGGAAAAGTGGTGATATTTCATTCTCTTGAGTTCCAACACTTCGTCATAAGCTAAAATTTTGAGCTGTTTGAACGAACTTCAATCAACCTGAACTTTCTTCGCTGTACTGTTGGTCTACTTACGGAAACTATATTTATTATACTTCATCAGCAATCCTTACTAATATGCCGCATTGCCACCCGTCTCAGTGAGATTTCAGCTCGTAAATCAACACTGAAATAGACCGTCGTCGCCTACGCATACCTAACTGACACTTCCGTTCAACAATTAGAACGTCTAAAAACGCATCTTCACTTAATAAAAATTTAAGCCCTTTTACAAAGCACGTACTATCTATAACTTCTTAGTTCTTGTGAGCTTTTTTCGTTTCCTCCGGATATTGGGCGCTAAAGCACCTAAACACGTATTATTTTATTGTTATGGTTTGTAATTTTTTAAGGTGCTAATTTTGCTAGGTGTTAAAGTTCATTCAATCCATGAACATTAGTGCATTATATAGACTTATACTCTTGGAGTAATTTCTTAATGCAGTGCTAGGTTGGTTCACATTGAATGATGCTGCCAAATCCCTGAATTATTCTCTTTAATCGCCTTTTACGACATTCACCGATGGGATTAGAGTGATGTACTGTAAGCCGTCACCGCACGACGACATTCTGTGACATACTTTAATTAAATGTCTTATTATAAATGTAAATAACCAAGTGATAAATTATTATTATACTAGCCCCTGTCGCCTCATCCTATGTCCCAAGACTTTCCATTTTGCCCTATCTCGTTCTCTCTTTCAATGGATAAAAAAATATATAGATCTTGATATTCAATTTATAAATTAAATCCCATAATATAGTTCGCCTTTTTGTAGAATTTTCAAATATTTGCCTCGAATAGTGAATCGTCAGGTAGAGTGGTATCACGACACTTTTGTCACTAAATGATTATTCACGGAGCGTAGTAAAGCTTGTGTTGCCGCGTGACTGGTAACCGATTGTCTCCTAACTATTACACGCACACGATGTGAAGCGCACGTGCAACTTACGTACCCTCTAAAAAGGTCAAACGTGTCTTTGATAAGCATAGGTAATATTATTAGTATTTCCTGCTTATTTAAAGTCATACACAACGTGTTCTGTATTTAATGAAATTAGCGGTCTGATCGTTGATCACACGATCCGCAAGTCTGTAGTTTTCCTTTTCGCAAAACCATACAGAATATCTGATTTAAAACTCGATGACATTGTGACCGGTTTGGTAAGACTGGCAGATGAATCATATCGTCCCCTACGCGACGAAGGGGCGTATCTGATTTTGAAATTTTTTACAGTAGAGTCAAAAAAATGTTTTGATTCCCCGATTGCTTCAATATTTCTGCCATAAAATTTTAAATGATTCGTCAGCGGGGAAAAAAATGGATCCATGTTATTGTACATTACTTATACAAAAATTATTTTTACATATTTTGTGGAGCTTTTTATATGTTAAAAATAACCGACGAAGAGCGTGTCAGACACGCCCACAAATAGGGATTCGTAGTGAACGTTTAAATATCAGGTTTTTCAGCGTAACAAAGTTAATTTTGTTGCTGGTTTGTTTGTAGCTGTTTAATTACCAACCGCAAATAGAAAATCTTTTATTTTTCTGAATTCTTTAGTGGTACATACAGTATCCGTTATAGTTTTCATGGTAACTTCAGATCGTAAACTATGTTTCAAGATTTTACCCGACTGCCTCAGAAGGAGGGTTAATGTTTTTCGAGAGTATGTATGTATGTATGTATGTGGACAAGAAAATTCTTTTTCACGGGCTACAGGCCAAACGGATAATTGGATTTACACATATGAGATGTCGATGACTATATTAAAAAATATAGATTCAAGATGGCGGATTTTAACAGCAAAATACTACTTAAAAATTACAACAGTCGGCTTTTTGTTTTTTAACACATCTACTTGTTTTTTTTTTGCGTTAGATGTTACAGCTGGAACAAATTTTGGGTCAAAACGCCACTTTTATAAGCAAATATCTCGCGACAGAAACATTTTAGTGACTTTGTTTCAAGTAAAGGAAGACCTATTCAACAACACCTTACTCAATATAACAGGAGAAAAAAAAATTGCCCCCTTTTTATTGTTACATTGCTAGTTAATTTAGTTTATTTTCCATGTTCATTACAAGATGCTTTCTCTTTAAAATGTTCTAAGCATAAAAATCTGAATCATCTGTTGCAGGAATTGTGAATTGATCCGAGGCAGGCATGTACTTCACATGGCTGTTACAAAGGTAAATTCATAACTGTGCTATTTTCTTGACCTATGAATCACTCTTCCTGGTTGGTAATCCGGATCATTATCATCGGATATGTCCATATCTTTAACTGTTTCCAAATTGTTACTATGATCAGTAGAACAGTATGTCATGTTACTGTCATTGTTTAAGCCAATTAAAAATTCGCCTTGTAGGAAGTCACTTGAAATGTTTTAATTTGTAATAGCATCCTCACCAGGAATTGGGGTGGATCCTTGTTGTGTAGTAAATATTTGAACCTGGTCAAAAGGCGCGCCATTTATTTCCAATTGTTTACTGTTCACGAACTGAAGACAAATTTTCAATCTATAAAATTAATAATTTCTTTATTAGTAACTGTGCTTGATCCCTGTTAATTCTCGATAACAGTAGAAACAGTAAATCTTTGTAGCTGGTAATTTACAACTTCATTTTGGATAGTGGAGTCGCCAATGCTAACATTCTTATCGTGCGGTTTCACATTAGATTCAGGCGCTGTTTCATGAGTATTGGTATTAAATGTAATATTTGCATGCATATCACAAGACAAACTACTTCCCTTCACGGTATCAAGTGGATTCTAGATTACAGTTGAAGCTCTTGGCTAGATCTGGACTTGTCTAGATTACCTACTGTAAAGTGTAGTGCAATTTTCACAATTACAATTTTTCTCTTCAACAATAGAATCTGACATTGGACCTCCCATCAATAAATCATTAAAATTGATATATTTGCAATTGCCCGAAGTATTCCTGATTTCAGATAAAACTTGTATCTTTTTAGTACTACTGTTTGGTTTATCTGTTTCATTGACTTGTTGTAAAACTTGTATCTTTTTAGTATTACTGTTTGGTTTAACTGTTTCATTGACTTGTTGTAAGTTATCATCATATTCACATTCGTCAAAAGAGTCGTTTTGGTCTTCAG